AAGTCCCCGACCATGGAGTAATGACTGACTTTGTTCTTATGATAAGTCTAGCATTGCATAAAAAGCTTTTTACCGTCCCATTTACTAGGTTTAAAGCTCGACTCAAGGGTGACGGCTATAGCCTATCCCAAACACACCAAGAGACACATTCAGAGAAAGAGAGAAACCATTTTGAATTTCATAAAGCTACTGTTTGAAAAGCACTTGATATTTTACATTAAAAGTATGTCCTGTTAAATGTCAGTGGTCAGTGTCTCTTTCTAAACACACACACAGGGTCTGCCAGCAGCAGTGCCTCCTCCATTGCGAACAAATCTACTTAATTTTGCATCTTATAAAAGTTTAAATGGCTTTTTCATTTGTTTTATTTCAGTAAAAAGAAACATTTGAATCTATCAAACAGCACAGGCTGAATGAGAATTACCTTTCAGCTGAGGTAGCCCAAAATAGAAAGGGGTCATGTTTCTTTGAGCGGTATCCGCTGCACCTGCCAGCTTTCCACACGGCATCTGGAGAACAGAAACACCTGTCAGTGGCGATTCCTGACCTCCAGCTGCAGCTCTGCTCCAAAGAAAAAGAGATAGGCTCTGACAATGGGGGAGGCAGACACAGACGGCCATACATGCATACATACAAACAAATATGCTCAGAGGCCTACACCTAATTGCATTACCTGCAATAATGCACTGACAAACAGGTCCTCCTGCAGATTCAATCAGAAGAGACGCCATCTGTGCGGGAGTGTTTAGAAGTGTGTTTTCTTTGTTTACCCACGATACAACGTTGTAGGCATCCCCATGTGTTTTAGCCCCCCCTGTTAAAGCCTGGCATTAGTGGCTATGGGTGCGCCCTTCGTGTATTTGTGTGCAAATAAAGTGCCTATGAAAAAGAGAGGGCTGGAGGCTGTTATCTGCTCGTGTGAGTGTTTGCTGTTGCAACAGCGGTCTGGCTTCTGTGCCACAGCTGAGGGGAAATTTTCTCCGATGTCTAAATCATTCCATCCATTCCTTTTTTCATACCAGCTAAAGTCAAAAGAGAGAGAGCAGGCAGTTGTGATGCAGACACAATCACTGGGGAACACTCCTGGGATTATTGGAAATAAGATCAAAGACAAGAGACCTGAGTCAGGACTGTGCAAAGACAAAAAGGACATGGCGATGCTGATCTAAAATGACAGAAGAATAATAAAGTGGGAATGAGCTTTTTATTTCTCCAAAGCGTAGTACTGTCATGTGCAGCTTGGAATAATAAAACATTGACAAACCCCGCCACGCTTCCAGAACGTGTAAAGCTAAACAGATGTGCCAGCTCAGTAATTCTTCCTGCCACGCAGAAGTTAACCAAGCGATCAGCCATAAAATACTAATAGGAATCTTTCTTGATGCTTATGGAGAGGCCTTCCCAGACTCAGAAGAAACCGTACCTAAATGTGGGTGTGACCCCTGAGGCTGAACCCCCGATGGAGCGGGAGATAATCTTATCTGAGCATGCGCCGTCACAGTGGAGGCAGGTTTGCGATCTGACGCGGCCGTAACATCGTTATCGACACCTCCGACTGTGTATCTAGGTTCGCACACATGTGTGGCACATGTGACCGGGCTGACTATTTGCAAAGGCTTTATCAGTCAGCAAACACAATGAGCCATTCAGCGCCCAAAGAGACACAACAAAGGGACAGTTTACTGCAACAAAGACACCTCCATCCTGGAGGCCATGCTGGGCACAAATTGGAACAAAAACCCTCACATGAGCCGCTTTTAAATGCTTTGCAGGAATTAGACCCGTGGAGATAAATTACGACTTGTTGGCTGTCAGCTTTGAAGCACAGTTACAAGTTTAAGAAATACATTTAAAAAAATTGGGAACACTTTTAATTCTACACTTACGTAATTACTTTTCATAATCCAGACAGAACTGTGCCCCCAACCACCCACACACACACACAAACACACACACCAAAGGCAGCTATAACAGACAATACATTTTGGTCATTTTGTTCATAAATCTGGTGGTAACCCCTCCCCTTCAAATCCACAAATGAAGCTTCCCAACACCCAGTGGTACACCAGCCTCGTTGTTAACAGTTTAAGGCAGTTATTATTTGATAGGTACAATTATTAAAGGCCTTGTAGATCCTGAAACTTTACGTTTGGCATTGCAATCTATGTGCCACTAATTTTTGTGATAATTTGAATTAAGATATGTAAGTAAAAGGACATATCAAATTAAACTAAAACTGAAGGGATAAATCGTTTGTGAACCAAAACTTTGAATTTAACCAGTTTTACTTCTCTGGGGGTCAGAGGGCTCCCTCTGAGAAAGTAGGTCGACATCAGTTCATCCCAGTGACATCTCTGCAACCCAAGCAGTGCACGGGAGGTGCACCTCAGTCCCGCTGGCTGAGATTGGATTAGAAGAGATGGAACACATCCCATCAATCCCAGAACAGAGCCATCATAGCTGATGGATAGGGCTGTCAAAGAGCTGATCAATGCCATCAGCCAAACCCTTTAAAACACACACCGAGTTAAGCAGGGCCCAGCGTAAAACAGACTAATCAAGCAAACAATAGGAAATGCAGATTACCTGTTGCTATGACGACTGCAGCTGTAGATTGACAGCCGCGCTCTACAAAAGAGGCCTGAATAGATCTGGCTTTTGGAACACGGTGAAATTTGATATTGTTTAAAAAGGCCAGGTGTTTCCTGATAACCAGAAGGAACAACATAACCTGATTAAAGGAAATGACACCCCTCCATGCACTATCACAAACTGTACGCATATGTATGTATCTACACTGTTTTATACGTGTATTGTGTATGTATATATATATACATATATATACATATGATGATGTATATAGATATATATGCATACACAATCTATAACATCCCTTGGG